CGCCCTGCCCTGCCCGGCTCCGCACCGCCCACTGCCACGGCTGAGAGAAAATCGGGTTTCACGACCGCTCGTCGTTTTGCGAGCCTTGGGTAGCGCTGCCATCAGCCCCATTGTTCCGTCTTTCCTTTGTCCAGGTCCGGTATTTTCCAACGACTTTGGTGGGCGAGGTGCTTGTAGCACATCTCGACACAGCAGGTTCCTAAAGGCGTGGGCGCTAATTTCGCGCTTGGCATGGATATTTGGCTTTTGGCTTTCGTTTGTGTTGTCGCGTATTTCTGTTCTACAACGTAATGTGATTACAAGTTTCATAGTGCAAGGTGTGTGGACTGAGATATCAATAGAGTAGATTTTCTTTCAATTAGTACTTGTGTATTTTGTTACGTCTTTGACCAAGAAATGACGAAGACTCAGATGTACATGTGTAGATTTTCGTATAATAAATGGTCAGTGAAATCCACATTCTGCCAAGATACGTGTTGTGTGTGTGAAAATATTAGAGTAGGGTAGGTACGGAATTCAGGTAGTGCCAGTTAGTGATGTGGCATCGATGATAACATTAAAATATCGATGCTAATAAAAAATCTATTAAAACCCAACGATGTTTCTAAATATCGTTGTATTATAAAGCTGTTTAGCAATATATAACATTAAATTCGTGGGCAACAAAATTTAATTTTACATTGACCGTGTTTGTTTATTTTTAATCAAGATAAAACTGTAAAAAATTAAAATTAGAAGAAGAAATTAAAATACTTAGCATGAAAACCTGAGCATCCACAGTAATCTCAAGAGGACATGTTAAATCATCTGCATGGTGTAATGATCTCGGAAGGCGTCGCGTGAGGTGACGGGCATTGAACCGTGAGCGATTCAAAGATTTCTCGAAGCGGTTGCGATGCGCGAGCGATTCCAGAAGTTTGGAGATACAGCCGTGCTGATGATGGATCGGATTAGTGCGTGGGCATCCGGCTGCTTGGTTGCGCAGACCGAGTCGATAATGTAGAATACAGAACACATTACATTGGAATATAATTAAACAATTTGTACGAGACGTTTTGCTGTCCTGTGATTAGACATGCGTATAAAAATTATGGAAAATGCGTAAAAAATTATATTTTAAGTAAGCTTGTTCCAAAAAAGGTGGACGAAACGTTTGTGTCCGCAGGAGGCGCTGATGCGTCGACTGGGCCCTCACGCGCGCCCCTTCACGTTGGAGCTGACGCCGCTCGCCCCGCCCTCCGTGCAGCTGGTGCCCGCCAAGCAGTACAGCGGCGCGCCCATCGGCACCAGCTACGACGTGAGGGCCTACGTGGGTAAGTCCACTCACAATCAGTCACACACGTTTTTCGGGCAACGTCTGTGAACTCATACATAAACACACACACATACACACACACTCTGTCTCTCTCTGTCTCTGTCTGTCTGTCTCTGTCTCTCTCTGTTTGTATCTCACTCTGTCTCTCTCTCTCTCTCTCTCTCTCACTCACACACACACACACACTCTCTCTTTCTATTTCACACACACACATGAAGCAAAGTCCTTAGCACTAGTTACGACATGCGCATTTAACTCGGTAAGCTCATCCAGCATCACACACACACACATCCTACTCAAAGCATAGTCCATTGCAACAACAAGGACGTGCGCGTCTACGTTGGTACGCCAACTTATTCACATACCCACAAAAAAACGCAAGGCATAGCGCATAAATGCGAGCTAGGATGTGCTCACCTTTGTCGGTGAACCCATTCTTGCACACTCACACAACCACACTATACCAGAACGACAACGGCCATGATGAAGATTAGATCTCTTAGATAGAAGATTAGACTAGAATGGCAGACTCGACTAAATGGAAACCTCGCACGGACGCGCATACCACAGCCATATCTCACATTCGAGTGAATGACAAAACCGCCACGTTCATCATATACACTACACTTGCAGTATTAATGACCAACGTAACTGACGCTCCCGGGAACACGGAGTAATCCAGTACGTGTCGTGTGTGTGTGTGCAGCGGAGCGGCCCGACGAGAAGTGCAACCGGCGCAGCGCGGTGCGCATGGGCATCC